TGTGAGTCGGAGACGTGGGGGTCGCGACGACAACGATGACGACCGCCGACCAACAACGACGACGAAATCGACGATGATGACGACTTCGATGACCGACGACGACGACGACAGACGACGAAGACGACGGCCACGCCGACGACCGACGACGACGACGACGACGGAGACGATGGCGACAGACGACGACGGACGACGACGACGACCAAGACGACAACGACGACCGACGACCGAAGACCGACGACGACGACGACGACGACGACCACGGACGACGACGACGACGACGACGACGACGACGACGGCCGACAGCCGACGGCCGACGACCGACGACGACGACGACCGAAGACGAGGGACGACGACGACTACGAAGACGTTGACGACGACCGACGACCGAAGACCGACGACGACGACGACGACCAACACCACGCCGGCAAACGAGGATCGACGACGACGACGGACGTCGACGGACGATGACAACGACGACAACGATGACGACGACGACGACAGACGACGACAGACGACAGAGAAGACGACCACGCCGACGACTGACGACCGACAACTGACGACCAACGACGACGAAGATGATGACGACAGACTACGACGGACGTTAACGACGACGACGACCAACACCACGCCGACGGCCGAGGACCGAGGACCGACAACCGACGGACGACGACGACGACGACGACGACGACGTCTGACGACCGACGACCGATGACCAACGACCGACGACGACAACGACGACGACGACAACGGCGACGACAACATCTACGGCCGAAGACCGACGACCGACGAACCACGACCGACGACCGACGACGACGACCGAAGACGACGACGACAACCGACGGACGACGACGACGAAGACGATGACGACGGACGACGACGGACGATGACGACAACGACGACCAACACCACGCCGACAACCGAGGAGCGACGGCGGACGACGGACGGCGACGACGACGACGACGACGACGACGACCGACGACCGACGACGACGGCCGAAGACGACGACGACGACAACGACAACGACGACCGACGACGACGACGACGACGACGACGACGACGACGACGACGGCCTCTCGTCGCCAGCCAGTGCCCAACACGCAACACGAGCCTGCACGAGCTGGCGCCGGGCCGTGAGCGACCCCAGCGGGCGGGGAGAGAAGGGCAGGAGCATCCCAGGCGACGTGCAGGACAGACGAGGGAAGGAGGGGGGGCGAGGGGAGGGAGGAGGAGGAGAGGAGGGGGCAAGCTAGGTGCGCTCGCGTCGTATCTGACGTCCTGCCCCTCCCTCCCATCCCTTACCATGGCGCAGGTCTCCGCTCTGTTCGCACAGTCGGATGTCGCAGCATGGCATAGCATTGCATGGCATAGCATGGTGTTGAAGATCAACGCGTAACATGACATAGCATGGCGTGGCGACGGCCCAAAGTAGGGTGGGCTTCTGCGGCCCCAAAAATGAACGAATCGATACATCATGTGTAATCACTTCCGATCGCTTTATTCGGGGGGACAGTTTTAAGATTTTTGGGTCGATTTGAAAGGACTGAAAACCATGCCGTGGCATGGCGCTAGAAATAATAACGCCAACGCTGCAGCGGGAGCACGATTCGGAGGACGCGTAGCCTGACATAGCACGGCGTGGCGACGACCCAAAGTGGGTGGGGGCTTCTGCGGCACAAGCATCAACGAATCGACACCGAATGTGTAATCACTTCCTATGGTTTTCTTTGAAAGACCGAAAGCCATGCCGTGGCATGACGCTAGAAACGATGATGCCAGCGCTGCAGCGGAAACACGATTCGGAACGAGCGGAAGCGCGGAAATGAGGCCAGCGCTGCAACGGGAGCACGATCCGGAACGAGCGGTAGCCCGAAAATGAGGCCAGCGAAAACAACATTTGGAAACACAAAACCAAAGCGAAAACCCGTTTCCCGGGAATCCTGTGTGTAAAACAACAGCACGCGGTGGGGGGGGGGGCGTACATATTTCGCGGACGTCACCAGGGGAGAGAGGAGAGCAGTATTCATGTTGTGCAGTTGTAGAGGAGGGGAGGATGGGGGAGGAGGGACGGAGAGAGGAGGAGGAGAAGAGGAGGAGGCAGAGGAGGAGGAGGGAGGACGGTATGACGACGAGGAGCAGGAGGAGGATGGGCGGCGAGCGAGAGGAGCAGAAGGAGGAGAAGGAGGGGGACTGGGAGGAGACAGGAGAGGAGGAAGCCGAGGAGGAGAGGAGGGAGGAGGAGAGGAGGAGGTGGAGGAGGAGAGGAGGGGAGGAGGAGGAGGGGGAGGAGGAGGAGGAGGAGGAGGAGGAGGAGGAGGAGGAGGAGGAGGAGGAGAGAGAGGAGGAGGAGGAGGAGGTGCGGGAGGGAGGGGGAGGGTAAGGAGAAGAGAAGCGAGTGGAGGAGGGGGGCGCAGAGGCGCCCACATATGCGCCACAAGGACGGCCCCCCACGAGAGCACGGCAGCCGGGCTGGCGCCGGGGCTGTACCGTGGAGCCCCGTGGTGTCCATGCGCCTGGAAGCCCGCGGGGGAGGAGGGAGGGCCGCGACGACGACGGCAAAGACGACGGCGACGGGCAGAGGGCAGGAGCGGGAGCACGGGGGAGGGGGAACCAGGGGGAGAGGGCGCGCGCGTGATCGGTCCAGGCCTCCGGGCTGCCGCGCGGCAGGGTGGTGCGCCCAAGCGCGGGGGCCGGAGGCCCGCCGCGCTGGAGCCGAGAGCCTCGGAGCGCCGCTGGGGGCCCCGCACTTCTGGCCGCTCTTGGCCAGGAGCGGGAAGTCGAAGTTGGCGGTCTCGTCGCCCTCGAGTGCGCTGGACAGGACCTCGCCCCGGGCGGGCGGCCCTCTTCTGGCCCCCTCGGCTTCGGCTCCTCCTCCTGCGCCCCGCTCCTCCCCACCCGTCTTCGCCTCCTGGCCCTGACACGGCGAGCTCCTGCCCCGAGAGAGGCGCGACGGCACGGGCCGGCAAAGAACCGTCGGCGCCCCGCGGCCGCCGACTGCTTCCCGGTCGGCCCAGGCGCGAGGAGGTGGACGCCGCGGCGCGCCCACGAGGCAGAGCTGAAGCGGCAGGCCTTCTCCGAAGGGTCAGAGGGCCTGTGGCCTTTTGAGAGGCTCGCCAAGCTTTCTCCGAAGACACGTGTGCACCCCGGTTCTTCTGAACACGCCCTGGGCGTTTGCTCTTTTGCTGTTGTGCACTTTGGGGCCTTGCCGAGCTAAAGGCGCTTGAAAAAGAGCGCTGCGCTTGTGCAACTGTGCTTGCTGCGCTTGTGCAGCGTGTTCAGGCCCGTCGCTGTGGACCTTCACTGCTTCAAAACGTGTTCGCTCTCGTGCTGAAGGCTGCCCCTCGGCTTCCACTGCCGTCTTCGCTCCCACTGTCCCCGCACCTGCCGCCCCCCATCTCCCTCCCGGTCCGCGCGCCGAGCGCGGAGCCAAGAACGCACAGCACCACGCCCTAACGCCGCCCTAACATGAGGTCGGGCACGTCCCCCTACAGGGGGATTTTGTGCGAGAGATTCAAAGAACATCCCACGAATACGTAAAAACATTTGACAATGCGCAAAGCATCGTCGACATACGATGGTTCGACTATGTTTGACCCTTCTGTGGAGGGACAGGCCCGACTTAACACTCTCGCGGAACAGGCCCAGAGGCTCCGCGACCAGCGAGCAGCGACGCCCAGAGAAGAGCAAAATGATTCCAGCATGCAGATGTGGGGAGGACTGGGCGCAAGGAGGAGGAACTGAGGGCGTGGCTGGCGGCAGTGCCGAACAGCGTACTGAACCATCCGAACATGCTTCGACACGGCATGCGGAACAGCTTCGACGGTCCCAGCGGCTTGCCTGGATCTGCGCTGGGCACCCCTCCCTGGCGTGCGGGGCGCGCCAGGGGTGGCGCAGGAGGCGCCGCCAGGGGGGGTCCAGCGCAGATCCAAGAAATCCACGGCCTATTCGGATCCAAGAGATCCGCGCGGGCGGCCGACAACTTCGGTGTTTGTGACTTTTGCTGCTGCTCTTCCTCCTCCTCCTCCTCCTCCTCCTCCTCCTCCTCATCATCATCATCATCATCATCATCATCCTCATCCTCATCCTCATCCTTCATTTCTTCACCTCATCCTCATTCCTCATTCATCATATCATCTCATCATCATTCATCATATAATCATACATCATCATCATCCATTTAATCATCATCATCATCATCATCATCCTCATCATCATCATCATAATCATTCATCATATAATATCATCATAATCATCATCATCATCATAATCATCATTTCACTCCTCCTCCTCGTCCTCATCCTCCTCCTCCTCCTCCTCCATCCCTACACTTCGTCCGCCCCCAGGCGGCGTCCACCACCCTCTTGTGTCCACCTCCTCCTCCTCCTCCTCCTCCTCCTCCTCTCCTCCTCCTCCTCCTCCTCCTCCAGTTCCTCCTCCTCCTCCTCCTCCTCCTCTTCTTTCCCCGCCTCCCCGCCCGCCCTCCACCCTCTCCCCTCCTCCGCCGCGCGACTGCCGGCGCCACACTGGCATTGCACCGAGGCCTCGAGGGGTCACGTGCCCGCCGGCCTCTTCCCCGCGAGCCTGCGCCTGGGGGCCGCCGGCAGCGCGGCGGCGCAGTCGGCCCGGGCCGGAGCCGCAGCAGCGGGCCGTGCCGGTGCCGCGGCGGGCGGTGCGGAGGCGCTCGGGGCTGCGGGGGCGTCTGGCGCGTCCGCGGCGGAGCGGAAGCACTGGTCCCACTGGGCCTGCACCCAGCGGAAGATGGGCAGCACCTCTTGACTAGAGGTCAGAAGTTCCACCCCTATAGGGATCACCACCCCGAGAAGCGGAGCCGTTCAGCAAACGCACCCAAGGAAGGACTCGAACAGGGCAGGGCTGTTTAGTAAACGCCCAGGGCCCTAAACGCTAATGTTGTCAGGGTCTGAGAATGGTTTTTCCTCCCTTGATTGACGGCGCCCACAGCCCAGATACCCGCGGGTCGTGAGAGAAACGGGACGGGAGGCTCTCTTGGTGATCTGCTGGTTTTCGGCCTCTGGGGGCCTTCGCTGGGCCCCAGGACCGCCCAAAATACGACTCCAGAGGAAAAGCTGGTCCTGAGGAGTGAGCGAAGACATCCGGGGACCACGTCATGAAAAGTCATTGCGTCGGGAGTGTGGGAGGGGGGGGGCGGCCTTCTGAGAAGACACGGGGGGGGGTCTCAAAGGCAGGGGCTTTCCAAGAGGGCCCAGGAGCTTCTAAGCAGCTTTCGTAGAGGCCGCCAGACCCTTCTACGAAGGGCCGCCAGGCCCTTCCAAGAATGCCTCTGTGTTTCAGGACCCCACAGCTGCTTCCTCAGATCGCACCCCCTCGCCTCCACCCCCTGGTTCGGGTGTCTTGCCAGAAGTGCCCCTGGCCCGGCGTGCCCCCGGGATCTCCGGGAAAGCCCCCGCGGCCTACGGAGCACTCCCACCCACGTCTCAGATGGAGCGCAGAGCTGGGGGCCCTCCTCCTCCTCCTCCTCCTTCTCCTCCTCCTCCAGTTCCTCCTCCTCCTCCTCCTCTCCTACCTCCTCCTCTCCCCCCTCCTCCTCCTCCTCCCTCCTCCTCCAGTTCCTCCTCCTCCTCCTCCTCCTCCTCCTCCTCCTCCGCCTCCTCTTCCTCCTCCTCCTCCTCCTCCTCCAGTTCCTCCTTTTCCTCCTCCTCCTCCTCCTCCTCGTCGTCATCCTCCTCCTCCTCCTCCACCGTGGGCCAGGGGTGCTCTCAGCGCTCCCCGACATGTGGGCGCCGCCAGACCTCGGCGTCGCGCCCCGGATTCTTGTCCGGGTGGTACGCGCGCTGCCACTGCCGCAGCCTCGCGCGCCGGGCCGGCGGGTCGCCGTGGTAGCGCGCCAGCTCGGCGGCCAGGCGCTGCATGGTGAGCTGCCGCCACTCCCGCAGCCACCCCTCCTCTTCAGGACGGAAAGCCATGCAGGACGAGGAGCAACTCGGGTGAGCATGATCCGGCGGCTCTGGAGGATGTCTCGGGCGCTGCGGCCTCCTCAGCGCGCCCCGGAACTCTCTGAAACGGATGTATGATCGTTTCAGCCCCGTCCGGCCTCTGGAAGAAGGAAGCACGGCATGAGCCTGGACTTTCGGCAGTGCGCGCGGACTTCTTGGATCTGCGCGGATCCAAGAAATCCGCGCGGACCTGCTGAAATTCATGAGCACAGCGGAGGTATGGCGACCCCAATCCCAAATTTGTTGGGACTCTCGGCTAAAACAAATCGTAGGCCGGGCATGACCCCCTACAGGCGGATTTTGAACGAAAAATGAAAAATAGGCATAAGATGCGCCAAACATGCTCAAAACTAGTCAAACAATCGCCCCCAGATATGTTGTGACTAGTCTTGAATATTCCCCCTTGTATCAAGGGGACGTAATACCTGGGTACAGGGGACTCGGAAATCCCCGACGAGGTCGTCAAAAAAATGACGAGGCCGAGCCTGCATTTTGACGAGGCCTCCCGCTGCAGACATCCCACGAAACTCCTCCTCGTCAAAATCCGAGGCGCGGTCGTCAAAAAACGATGGCGAACCCGAGTCCTGGCAAACCCGGGTCTTACGCTCCCCCGACTGTAGAGGGACAGGCCCGACGCACGGCAGATGTTTGACGCCGAGCTCAAGCATCTCACGATCGGGTGACGTCCACCCTCGATCGGCGCGCGCCCCCCTCTCCCCCAACGAGAGGCCTCCAGAGGAGGGGGCACTCGGGAAGTGGAAGCGAGAAGTCGCCTGTCGGCGTCAGGGCAGTAGCACACGACAGTGACCGAAGCATTTTACAGACCCCCTCGGGTCATGAAAACATCATGACGGGAGGTGTTTCCGTATCTTCGGCCTCTGGGGGCCCTTACCGGGCCTCGGGACCGTCAAAAAAAGGCTCAGGATGAAAACCCGGTCCAGGGGAATGGGTCGAGACCTGCAGGGGTCGACGTTTTGAAAAAATCAAGACGTCGGGGGTCTGGGTCAGGCTTTCCACCGGCAGCCATGGGAGTCCGCACGTCTCTCTGACACAGGACCGTCGGCACCTTGTTACTGCAGGGATGGCCCTGCAAGCAGGTCGTGCTGCATACTGGGATCTGGCAAGGCTGCACACTCTTTCCGCTCCCCGCGGGCTGAAGCCGAGGAACAACAACCGCCAGCTGCAACACTCGTAGTTATGGCGATGGCATTGGATAAGGAAACCTTCGACAAGGAGTCCAGAGTCTAGAAGCCAGTGGAAAGCCAAGCGTGGACTGGACATGGATATCACCGCCGCCCTCCTCAGATAAGGAACCCTCCAGGGTCTGAAGCCTCCCGGGCACGTTCCTTCACGGACGCACCCACCGCTGCGTCGGACACCTGCGCAGCGCAGCTTGCCCATCTTGAGTCAAGGATTGCAAAAAAAAACCCAGGATTGCAAAGGATTGCAACAAAAATCAAGGATTGCAAACGATTGCAAAACAAATCCTTGATTTTTTGCAATTCTTGGGTTTTTTTTTGCAATCCCGCATGGCAAGCAGATTGCTGGCGAGCCGCCGTTGGCAGCCCGTCCACGTGCTGCTCCTTTCTATTTGTTGCGCGCCGGCCTGGCGTCTCTTCGGCAGTGACTGGCGTGTCAGCGGTAGGCTCGGATTCCGGAAGCGGTAGAGGCGGCCGAGGGATGCATCGGAACCGACTTGGGCACACGGGTGCGGTCGGGCATGTCCCCCTACAGGCGGGTTTTGGACGACAAGTAAACAATACTCCAAACAATACACCACAAATAATCAAACATAGGCCAAACATCGTCCCCATACGATCTTTCAACTATTTTTGAATTTTTGCCCTGTAGAGGGACAGGCCCGACTTAACACAGGGGAAAAAGGGAAGGGGCGCGGGGAGGGGGAAGAACCTGCAGGCAGCGGAGCACGCTCGCACCGTGAAGATAGATTGCACGCGCGTGACAGAGCACTGCAGGCCCATATGCGGGCAGCGAGCCAGGGAGCAGCAGGGCAAGACGCACTTCGACAGCAACACCCCATGGGGCCGCAAAGCGTTGTACTGGGTGGGTGAAAATGCCAAATTGGGCGTGGGGGGGGCGCATGCGGGCCGCCCCACTGGGGGCTTCGGTGGGGCTCCCTATGGGGCCACGAAACGCTGTACTGGGTCTGCGAAAATGCCAAATTGGGTGTGGGGGACGCATGCGGGCGGTCCCACTGGAGGCGTCGGTGGGGCTCCCAATGGGGGACGCATGCGGGCGGTCCCACCGGGGGCTTCGGTGGAGCTCCCTATGGGGCCACGAAGCGTTGTAAAGGGTGGGTGACGCCAAGTTGGGTGTGGGGAACGCATGCGGGCGGTCCCACTGGGGGCTTCGGTGGAGCTCCCTATGGGGCCACGAAGCGCTGTACTGAGTGGGTGACAATGCCAAGTTGGGTGTGGGGGACGCATGCGGGCGGTCCCACTTGGGGCTTCGGTGGGGCTCCCTATTGGGCCACGAAGAGCTGTACTGGGTCGGTGAAAATGCCAAATTGGATGTGGGGGACGCATGCGGGCGGTCCCACTGGGGGCCTCGGTGGAGCTCCCTATGGGGTCACGAAGTGCTGTACGGGGTGGGCGCCAATGCCGAATTGGCTGTGGGGGACGCATGCGGGCGGTCCCACAGGGGGCTTCGGTGGAGCTCCCAATGGGGCCACTAAGCGCTGTACTGGGTGGGTGAAAATGCCAAATTGGGTGTGGGGGACGCATGCGGGCGGTCCCACTGGGGGCTTCGGTGGAGCTCCCTATGGGGCCACGAAGCGCTGTGCTGGGTGGGTGACAATGCCAAGTTGGGTATGGTGGACGCATGCGGGCGGTCCCACTGGGGGCTTCGGTGGGGCCCCCCATTGGGCCACGAAGCGCTGTACTTGGTGGGTGAAAATGGCAAATTGGGTGTGGGGGACGCATGTGGGCGGTACCACTGGGGGCTTCGGTGGAGCTCCCTGTGGGGCCACGAAGCGCTGTACGGGGTGGGTGAAAATGCCAAATTGGGCGTGGGGGGGGACGCATGCGGGCGGCCCCATTGGGGGCTTCGGTGGAGCTGCCTATGGGGCCACGAAGCGCTGTACTGGGTGGGTGAAAATGCTAAATTGGGTGTGGGGAGCGCATGCGGGCGGTCCCACTGGGGGCCTCGGTGGAGCTCCCTATGGGGCCACGAAACGTGTGAGGGATGTGCCGAAATGGGTGTGGGGGACGCATGCGGGCGGTGGGGAGGATGGGGAGGAGGAGGAGGAGAAGAGGAAAGGAACGCGGGGACCGTCTTTTCAAAACGAGGACCCAACACCACAGGTTGGTTGGGAAAAAATTCGGACGGGAAGTGTCTCGTTCTTTTCGGCCCCTAGAGGCCCTCGCCGGGCCCCGGGGCCGTCAAACAACGATTCATAGGATGAAACGCCGGCAGTGGAAAGGGTCCGGATTTCCGGGGACGCCGTCCTGAAAAAATCAGGACGTCGCATGTCTGGGTCTTTTGTATCTCTAGGGCTCCCAACTTCGCGCTTCGCGCTCCGCGAAGCGCGAAAACTTCGCGCTCTCGCGCCGCCCCAACAAGGGGAGAAACGGAGGACGAGGAGGAGGGGGAGAAGGAACGAGGACCCCGAAGCGCGAAGCACGAATAACTCCGCGCCCTCGTGGGAGGCCTTGTATCTGGAGTCCTTCTTTGACGGCCCCGATGCCCAAGAACGGCCCCTGGAGGCCCGAAGATAGCAGGGAACTTCCCCTGTAGTGTCTTTTTTTTTCTTGCAGCGCGAGGGGGTCTGGCCCGCAGCCCCGCGACGTCTTCGACCCCTTTCCTTGGGCCGGCTTTCATCCCGAGTCGTGTTGTGAAAGTCACGAGGGCCAGTAGAGGCATCCAGAGGCCGAAAGTAGTAGGTCGGGCATATCCCCCTACCGGCGGCTTTTGAACGAACGAAACCAAAAACAACTCAACATATTTGGGAACAAAACAAAAACGTGGAAGAACAGATTCCCCAGGCTATGCTTTGACCAGCTTTGACTACTCCTCCTGTGCAGGGACACGCCCGACTTGACGAAAGTAGCCGAATCGTTCATAACTCGAGGGGGTCTGTGGGGGTCCCAGACCCCCGACGTAATGATTTTTTCATTACGTCGACCCCCAGAGGTCCCGACCCTTTCCCCATGACCGGCTTTGCATCCTGAGTCGTTTTTTGACGCTCCCGAGGCCCGGTGAGGGCCCCCAGAGGGTAAAAATAGCGAAAAACCTCCCGTCGTGATTTTTTCATTACGCGAGGGGGTCTGGGGCGGTTTGCTCCCCGAGCTCCTCTTCGTCCTCTCCGCCCGCCCCGCCGCCTCCCGGGGCGCCCTCCTCCGCGGCGCCCCCGGGGCCCGACTTCGTGCGCCGGCGCTTGCGCCGGGCGTCGCCGCCGCCGCCCTCGTCCCTGGCCTGAGGCTGCTCCCATCGTACTCATAAGGACCACAGCCCAGACAGAACTCCCAGACCCCCTCGCGCAATGAAAAAATCACGACGGGAGGTTTTTCGCTATTTTTGCCCTCTGGGGGCCCTCACCCGGCCTCGGGAGCGTCAAAAAACGACTCAGGACGAAGAACCGGTCCCGGGGAAGGGGTCCAGACCTCTGCGGGTCGACGTTGTGAAAAAATCACGACGTCGGGGGTCTGGGAAGGACCACAGCCCAGACAGAACTTCCAGCACCCAGAAAAGTATCGAAGCAGTGTCGAGCGAGCATCGCCTCCCAGGGCCCGGCACGTGAGAACCCTCTGATCTCGGTGCTCTTTCCTGGTGCTCGAAAGTCTTCCTGGTGGACAAGTCCAAAGTAGGTTAGGTCGGAGCATCATAGCCCTGGCCTCGCCCTCGGGCTCCGTGAAGGTGCCGGGGCCCCAGGTCCAGCCGTCCTGAGGGGCAACGTTCCCAGACCCCCTCGGCAGGCAGGACGGAATCACAACACGAGGGTGTGTGGCAATTTTCCGCGTCTGGGAGGGGGCCCTCGCTGGGCATCGGGGCCGTCGAAGAACGACTCGGGACGAAAAGCGGGTCCCGGGCCCCGGGTCCAGGCGTCCTGAGGGGCAGTGGTTCCCACAGACACCCTCGGGCAATGGAGAAATCAGGGCGGGAGGTGTTTCCACATCTTCGGCCTCTGGAGGCCATGACCGGGCCCCGCGGGGCTGTCGAGAGGCAGCGCAGAATGCAAAGCCGGTCCAGGAGGATGGGTCGAGGCAGGGTCGACGTTGCGAGTAAATCCTGACGTCGGGGGGCTGGGCCAGACCCCCTCGGAACATGACAGACTCACGACGGATGGTGTCTGGCAGTTTTCGGGCTCCGGGGGCCCCCGCTAGGCACTGGGACCATCAAGAAACGACTCCGGATGGAAAGCCGGTCCCGGGGAATGGGTCGAGACCTCTGCAGTTCCACGCTGCAGTCATGACGTCGGAGATCTGCGCTGGCAGCTCAGGGGGGGGGGGAGGGGGGAACATCGAGCGTGCTTCGGTGACCCAGACATGCGACGTCCTGATTTTTTCAGGACGGCGTCCCCGGAAGTCCATACCCTTTCCCAGGGGCCTGTTTTTCATTATCTGAACAGTTTTTTTGACGGTCCCGGGGACCGGCGAGGGCATCTAGGGATCTAAAATAACGAAAACCCTCCCGTCCTGATTTTTGTTACGACGCCATCATGTCTGGGGCCACGACGTCGGGGACCTGCGCTGGCAGCTCGGAAGGGGGGAGGGGGGGGGGAAACATCGAGCGCGCATCGGTGCTGCACCGCCGACTCGCCGACGAGGGGCCCCCGACAATCGGCGAAACCGCACGTTCTGCCTGTTCGCTGCCCCACGACCGGGGGAAGGAATCGGGAAGGCACTGCTTCGCCTCCAAGTCCCATGCGGTGCCTCCTGTGCTGGCCACATGTGCCTCGTGTGGGGTGCCTCGTGGACCTGCCGTCCTCCTCCTCCTCCTCCTCCTCCTCCTCCTCCTCCTCCTCCTCCCTCCTCCTCCTCCTCCTCCTCCTCCTCCTCCTCCTCCTCCTCCTCCTCCTCCTCCTCCTCCTCCTCCTCCTCCACCTCCTCCTCCTCCTCCTCCTCTTCCCTCCTCCTCCTCCTCCTCCTCCTCCTCCTCCCTCCTCCTCCCTCCTCCTCCTCCTCCTCCTCTCCTCCTCCTCCTCCTCCTCCTCCTCCCTCCTCCTCCTCCCCTCCTCCTCCTCCCTCATCCTCCTCCTCCTCCTCCTCCTCCTCCTCCTCCTCCTACCTCCTCCTCCTCCTCCTCCTCCTCCTCCTCCTCCTCCTCCTCCTCCTCCTCCTCCTCCTCCTCCTCCTCCTCCTCCTCCTCCTCCTCCTCCCCTCCTCCTCCTCCTCCTCCTCCTCCTCCTCCTCCTCCTCTCTCCTCCTCCTCCTCCCTCCTCCTCCTCCTCTCCCCTCCTCCTCCTCCTCCTCCTCCCCCTCCCTCCTCCTCCTACGCCTTCCTATAGTCAGGGGGCGGGCTGTCGGGCCAGGGCCCCCCGCGGCGAGGCGCCTGCGTGGGGCGGGCCGCCGGCGCCCCCTGGTCGACGCGTGCCCCCTGAGGCGCACCCCCCCTCGGGAGTTACCCCTGACAACTTCCCCGGTGCATGGCGAGCTCCACCCCACCACCCCACGAGTTCTCTAAGGGCGGACCCAGTCGACCCCCTCGGGTACGGGAAAAAACATGACGGGAGGTTGTTCCCTACTCTCGGCCTCTCGAGCGAGGCCCTCACCGGGCCTCAGTTAGCCCTGACAACTTCCCAGACCCCCTCGGGTAAGGACAAAAACATGACGGGAGGTTGCTCCCTACCCTCGCGGCCTCTCGAGGCCCTCGCCGGGCCTCGGGGCCGCCAACAAGAACGGCACAAGCTGAGGAACCGGTCCAGGGGAATGGGTCGAGACCGGCAGGGGTCGACGTAGAACAAATCACGATGTCGGGGGTCTGGGCTAGGCTTTCCACCGGCAGCCACGGGAGTCTGCACGTCTCTCTACCACAGGACCGTCGGCACCTTGTCACTGCAGGGTCGACGTGATGAAAAAATCATGACGTCGGGGGTCTGGGAACTTAGAGGCCTCCTATGGGGTCCGAGCAGATGTGGTCGGAGGATCGCGCCGCATCGCCACTGCATCGGCGACGCCGGCGATGCATCCGCGACGCCGGCGTGGAGAACACCGGGCCCCGCAGCGAGCCGCGTCGGCGACGCATCGGCGACGTGGCGCGATCCTCCGACCCCGTCGATACGCGGACCGCAACTAGGGAGGCCTGGTATAGGGGGGAAACAAAGCTACCTCGCTCTTGACCACCCTCGCTTCCAAGAGATACCAAAGGATGCCAAATCGCAGCCTGCACTGTCAGGCCGCTCGACGAGGAGGCGCGTGGTGTGGCTTGGTTTTGCCTGGGAGCGAGAGCGGGGCAGGTAATTCGCGCTCGGATGGCAGACGGCCGTCCAGCGACTCCAGGTCGGAGGTCCGGTCGCCGCCCAGCAGGCGCCCGAAGTAGCAGCGCCTGACGAGCGCAAGACCCGACGTGTTCTAGGTCGGGCGCTGTGGAGCCGAGGGGGAGGAGGAGGAGGAGGAGGAGGAGGAGGAGGAGGAGGAGGAGGAGGAGGAGGAGGAGGAGGAGGAGGAGGAGGCGCTCGAAGTAGCAGCGCCTGACGAGCGCCACCCACGCGGCCAGCTGGCGCTCCTGGCGGTCGTCGCTCCTGTCCCACGGCAGGTGCCCGCGCGAGCCGAGGAACGCGCGCAGCTTGCCGGCCTTCGCGGCGAAGCCGGGCAGGCGAGCCAACTTCGCCTTCTTCCGCGCCTCGTGTTCGGTCGGGCATGTCCCCTCACGGGAGGACTTTGGACGAAAAATCAAGCGTACCCAGAAGCACCCCACAAATTCCCGCCCAGATTGCACAAAACATGGTCGCCCCCTATTCTTGTTGTGGCTATTTTTGTAGATGCCTCCTGTAGAGGGACAGGCCCCACTTCAGCCTTGTGCCAAGAAACAGGCGGGTCCGACACGGGTCCTGGGCCCTGGGGTGCTCCCCCCCTGGGCGAGCACTTCCTCCTGAGTCGTTGGCTGAGGGCCCTGGGGCCCTGAAAAAATGGCCGCAAAGCGCACGGCACCGGCGAAGCACCTGGGGGAGCGGGTCTTCGTCCTGGGTTGCTTTCTGACGGTCCTGGGGCCCGGGAAAGGCCCCGGATGGCCCGAAAGCGGCCAAAAGCATCGGGACCCGTTTCCCTCAGTAGAGGCAGGTCGGGCATGTTCCCCTACAGGCGGATTTGGATGACAAAAAAACAAATGTTCAAAATTAGTAAAAGAAATAATCGAAAATCGTCCCCAGAGTATTTTTTGACTATTCTTGGATATTCCTCCTGTAGAGGGACGTGCCAGATGGGGCCCGAGTAGGCGGTGCCGGAGGATCGCGCCGCATCGCCGGCTCAGGCCCCATTTCCTGCATGTTGAGCGTGAATCAGCGGGGGGGTGGGGGCGATGAGTGTGGGGGCCCCTTGAGGGACCCTTTTGGGCACCTTGGGGGGGGGCCCTTGGTAGGCGATGAGTGGGGGGGGCCCTTGAGTGTTACTCAATGGGGGGCCCCTTGGGGGGGGTGATGGTGTTGGGTCGGGCGTGTCCCCCTACAGGCAGAGGTTGGACGACAACTAAAAAATACAAAAATTTCACACTCACACATGTATATATATATATATATACAAGACTACAGAGGCGCTTCGCGCCATGCACCTTGGTCCGTGAAGTTTGGAATGCAGGCGGAATGGCAGGAAGGTCAAGCCGACAATCTAGCGATAACTCCTGGTTGCCTTTTCCGGCATCGCCGCTATAATGATGTTATTCGTTATCCTTCCTCCATGTTTATTGTTCTTTATTTTCGCCATACCCTGCGCATTCTCCCCATCCTCCTCAGCTCTTTTTTGCGGAGGCCCCTCCTTGGAGAGCCTCTAGGGGCCTCACAAAAGTTGTTTCGGGCTTTCTTATGGCCTTCTGGAGGCCTCCTGGGCGTATTCTGGGGGCCTCTGGGGGCTTCCTCGGGCCACCCTGCCTCCAACCGCCGTCTCCCTGAACGACCGAATCACGATTCGGACTTCTTCGGTGGGTGTCTTTGGGCCATCTTGGGCCGCCATGGGGCTCTCTGAGGGCCATCTTGGACCCGTGTTCTGCCGTTTTGGGACTCTCTTGGATTGCCTGGAAGCCCTTTCCAATGATTGTGGGGCGATTTGGGAGCCTCCCAGGCGGCTTCGGACGCCTGGAAGACCGCCGTCTTGGAGCGTCGGGAAGCCGAAAAGAGGAGAACCCCCAAATTCACCAAAAACCTACAGAAAATCCATGATTTTTGCCTCGGGGGGCCTTCTTGGGAGTGCTCTTGGAGGCCTCTTTGGGGCCGTCCTGGAGGCCTCTTGGGCCATCTTGAGGTCACGTCGGTCACTCTTGGAGCGCTCTTGTGCTGTCTTGGGGGTCTCTGGGACGTCTCCGATGACCCCCTCATCGCCCTCAGTGTGCTGGGAAGGCTTGGCAAAACGCCTTGCGAGGCCCAGTGGCCGCTTCGAGGCCCGTCCGGAGGGCCCCAAAGCCCCAGGTCCCGGGAGTCTGGTTTTTGGGGGGGGGGGGTGATGGGTTTTCCCCCCGCCCGGGCTGATAAAAAAATAAGAAGAGGAATATATGTTTAAACATGCTCAAACAGTCGTCCCCTATATCATTTTTTGTTAAGACTGTTTTTTTATATTCCTCCTGTAGAGGGACAGGCCCGACCTAGTGGGGGGGCGCTGAAATGGGGGGGCCACGTGCCCCCCCTGCGTGCCCCTCTTGGGCCCCTGGGGGGCCCCTTGAGGGACCCTGCAGGGCACCAAAGGGGCACCCTCCTCCCCCCCCCCAGGCACTCCAAATTCATCATTCATCGTCCCGCAGGCACACGTCGTTCATTTCTGCTCGCGCTCGTTTCTACTTGTGCTCGCTTTTGATTGTTCCCGGCGCGCCAGTGGCCAGGAGGAGGCCCAGGATAGAACAGTTAGACATGAAATGATCTTGCCCCCCCAGAAAAAATCAGAGAACTTTCGAAGAATTAGACATGAACAGTGGGTACCCAGACCCCCGACGTCTTGATTTCTCCAAAACGTCGATCCTCTGATCGGCTCGACCCATTCCCTGGGACCGGCTTTTCATCCTGGGTCGCTTCGTGACGGCCCCGAGGGCCAGGCAGGGCCCCCAGAGGCCGCAAATAATATGGAGATACCTCCCCCGCCATGATGTCTCCACTGCCCCTGGGGGTCTGGGCATATATATATATATATATATATATATATATCCCACCCCAGACATCCGACGCCCGACCGTGGCGCGAGCCTTGGGCGGCGCCGGCAGCGCAGGCAGGCTCAGCCCCGCCTGCTCCGCGGGCGCCCCGCGCGCGCGCCGGCGGCGCCCTCTGCCAAAGCCTCTGCCCGCCGCGCCGCCCGAGCGGCCCGCGCCGCGCGCGGGGCGCGCGGGGGCCTCCCGCGGGGCGGTCTGCCACTCGCCGAAGAGCGGCAGCGGCCCCGTGCGGCTCGGCGTCTGCTGGACCGGGCGCTGCTGGAGGGGGGGGGGCGGCAGCGGAGGGCAGAGCACCCACACGAGCGTAAACGGAGCACCCCGGCAGAGAGGCGGAGCCATGTCGCAAGCGCACGCGGGGGAGGCAGCGAGCATGGCCGGGCTGTGCAGAGAATGCCCCTGCGGCCGTGGAGCACACGCCCATCACCGGGGTTGCGGTGGCCCTCTTTTTTTCCTTGAGGTGAATGGGGGAGGGGGCGGGCGAAGAATCGTGCGCCTGTCGTGCCCCTTCTCCTTCAAGCCCCCCGTCCCCAGACCCCCGACGTCATTTTTTTTTTGGTTGCGTCGACCCTCAAGGGTCTCGGATCCCCCGGGGCCGGTTTCTCGTCCTGACTCGTTTCTGGACGGCCCCGAGGGCAAGGAAGGGCTTTTCCCGAGGCCGAAACTATCGGAGAAACCGCCCGTCATGATCTTTTCATTGCCCGAGGGGGTCTGGGATCTGTCGCACCCTTGGATGCTCGTTCTGGGGACCTTCCTGCAGCCACTCGCTCCACTCGTGCGTCGAAGCTGCGTCGAACGTCAGTCGAGTTGGGTCGACCCTGAGTCGAACCTGAGTCGAACCTGAGTCGAACTTGAGTCGAACTTGAGTCGAACTTGAGTCGAACTGGGGTCGAACAGATCCGTTAGGTGGGTTCCAGGAAGGTCCCCGAAACGAGCATCGAAGCACCCCCCCACTGCGCAGCGCCCGACTTGAGCGGCGCCTCGCCCTCGCGGACCTGCCGCCCGAGCCTGGGATATACGATGGGGGGGTGTCCATTCTCGATAGGGGTGCGTCCGAATAGCCCCCTTGGGGTGTATCCCAGGGTTTTCCCATTCTTCTGAGCGGCCAAACTTTTCCGGCAGAACTCGGGGATTGGGGGAGAACAATAGCCTGCACCCCCCCACTGCGCAGCGCCCGACTTGAGCGGCGCCTCGCCCTCGCGGACCTGCCGCCCGAGCCGCCTCCACTGCACCGGCGGGCGCAGTCTGCGCACGTCGCAGCGCAGGAAGACGCGCCGAGCGGCTGCACGCGGCGAGGGGCCCAGAGCCAGGAGGGGGAGGCAGGAGGAGGAGGAGGAGGGAGGAGGAGGAGGAGGAGGAGGAGGAGGGGGAGGAGGAGGAGGAGGAGGAGGAGGAGGAGGAGGAGGAGGAGGAGGAGGAGGAGGAAGGAAGACAAGGAGGGGGAGGTGGCTTTTCGTGCGCGGCGTTCGGGAAGCCGCGGGAGGGGTTCTGGGAGGAAGGGGTTCGACACAAGGAGCTCGGTGTGCAGTGGAGGCCAGTCCACAAGAAACCATCCACAAGAAACCTACAGTCAAAACGTGTATTAAGGGTGGGTGGCAAGGACGCAAGACCCTTGGAGGCCGAAGCGGGGTCTTGGGGCGGCGGGCGACCAGTGAAAGCGGCAGAGGACAGGCCGCAGGTGCAAGGACACAAGAGCACCATAGGTGAAGGCGCGCGTCCTTACTGGGCGCGTTGACTGTAATCCCGGGGCCCCGCGACGCCCATTGACTTTTGGCGCGGGAGCGTCGCGCTCCCCATCGCAAACTCATCGAAACCAAAGAAACCCAGGGCACCCTGGAGGCAAGCAGGGTATTTCTTGGCATGGGTCTCCACTGCATAGGCTCCCGGGCCTCCCAGCATGTGGGGGGTGGGAGCGTCCGATTGCACACCAAACCCCTTCGACGAGCTCGTTGGCCCTCCCTTTGGCTGGAAATCACGACGCGGTGCTGGCGACGGGCCACTCCTGCGCGCAGCCGCGCTGGGCCCCGACGGCGCCGACGCTGCGCGCGCCCGGCACCAGGGCCTCCCACCTGCTCAGCCCCGACTCCAGGACGTACTTCTTGTGCCCCTTCAGCGCCCCTCTCGCGAGAGCAGCAGGCGACCACAGCCACATCGAAGACACGCCCTGAGAGGAGGCGTCGTGCGCCTGCCAGCCGTCGCCAGAGCACCGGGGCCAGCTCAGCACTGGCTGCGGTCGGTGGCTGGGTGGGCGTCCCAGCCGGCCCATCGACCACGGCCACAACCCGGAGGGTTCGTACCGAGTAAAACAGAGCTAGGATCGGGATAAATCGCTCCAGAGCGTTCCGGAGCGCTCTCAGAGCGTTCCGGAACGCTCTGGAGCGGCCGCGGCGCCCAATACATCCTCCAAACCCGCCGATTCTCAGAGATTTCGAACTATCCCGATCCGATGTTGTCCCGATCTTCGCGTCGTTTTACCGAGGTCGGCGGGCTCTGCCCCGAGCCCCCCCCCCCCCCGAACGCACAAAAACTTGGTCGTGGAGGCACTCGCCGTTCCCCGTGGAGGCACGCGCACTCTCGCGCGGGGAACGACGGCACGGCGTCGACGGTCTCGCTTCCTCGGACGGGCGCCCGCGCTGGCGTGCGTGTGACCGCGCGAGCGACCAGGGCGCCTGGTGCAGTGTCTCGGCCTCGAGTCGTGCCAGACACGCTGCACGAGCGGTCCTCGGTCGTGGTTGTGGCTCGCTGCCGTGCCCGGGCCTTTGGTCGTGGGCACGCCGCCCGCGGTGCGCCGCTCCCGCAGGAACTCGGCGTCGCGCTCCCGGGCCTCCGCGGCGCGGGCCCAGGCGAGCGTGGCCTCCTCGTCCTTCCAGGTCGGGCGTGTCCCCCTACAGGGGGATTTTGGGAGGAAAAAAACAAATACCCCAAACATCTTCGGAAACAGTGTA